TTCTCTACCACCTATGGCTCAGTTATTCCACATCGTAATTTAGTTCTATTGATGTGTAGTCAGGATTTTGCTCTATATTATTGTATGGGTGATTCATAAATTCGAATCGTATCACTATAGGTTGTTTGTTGGTTTGAGATGTTCTTTATTCTGACTACCGGACGAGTGAGCAAGCGTGGGAAACTGTATTCTGGACCAATAGTCACTTAAGATTACTGTCGGCTGTTGTCTCACATTTAGCGTGTTGTCGGTCATTTGAAGGCCATTAGTACTAGATAAAAAGTCTAAGCGAGCTGATCAATACTTGTACTAGAGCAATATAATTACCCGCCTGTTTTATGATCCGATCCTACAAGTCCCAAATAAACTAAACAGGAAGATGTGTTTATTTTTCGCTGACACACCAATTTTTAACTGAAAGTTGAGCGCTGGCTCACTGGTTAGGGTGTTTAACTCTCAGCTACTGGTTGGTAAGCTTGATCTCCATTCCACCACTCAGTTTGGGGAACCATATAGAACCATTAGCCCACGTAGTTCGAGTGTGCCTAAAAGCAGAGTAGGCGAATATATGTACGTGGTAAGTTGAAACTGAAAGTTCAAGGAAGGGGTAAAGTATTCAGTTATGTACATAGACTATCATCATAATATACTAATCTGAAATGCACCTTAGTCGGCCCTCATGCATTTTTTCTCCTTATTATTGAATATGACATTTCAGTTTTTGAGTTTCGCCATATTCAGTGTCAAACCTTTTGAATGTTCTACTGTACTGAATTTTAAAGTTCTTTCTGTTGAAGGGATTTTATCGAAATGGATTTCATCTTAAGGTCGTCTTCATCACAGACTGATTTCATTTAGGGCACCATGCGAAACAAAGGTGCTCTAAATAGATGTTATGTCCTAGTATGAATATTAGGTGCTCCCAAATGCCCTGGTATGGCCGAGAGTGGGGGGAGTCAGCTCTCCCTCTCGAAATGCTCTCACATGGACACGCGTATATAGCCCCTGCCAGGGAAGTCCTACTCACTGCCGCCTTCTCGTGGCGGGGGTGTTGTTTACGAAAATGAGAGGACAAAAATCGAATTTCCAGCGCTTTAACCGGATCCCAAACCAACGGTGCACATGGGCTCCAGTATCCTGGTGAAACAAATGGCGTATGAACCAATCGTTGGTCACCAGTTACCATGGGACTGCATCTCCTCACGATGCTCCACTGCCTTGTGGGTCGGACGTTCAGGTCGAAGGCTCGGGGTGTGGCCCCTTAAGAAAACCACCTGCTTCGGATTGGGCACCCGGACAGTATCACAGCCCTCACACATATCAAATGAGATATGTGTGGCGCATATGTATTTAGTGCCTTCTTGTACCGATATCTATGTGTTAAAATAAAATAAAAAATAAATGAATATTAGGTAAAGATGGCATGTCGGTTAAGGAGGTCACGAATCTTTATCAACTGAGGTGGTTGGGATGTGTCTTACGTATGCTCAACCACTGACTTCCTCGACAGGCGATGTTGTCTGACGTATGAGTAGTCTGAAAGAAAGCTAAGGTGGCCCGAATCAAAACGTGACATCAGTCCATGAAGTCACTGACAATTGAGCAGAATCACGTAAGTAGGTATAAACTATGTGGTTGATATCTACGCAGTTATCGTAATCAGTGGTTGTGGACTTTGAATAACATGACTAATAATCGTTCCCTTTAGAGTCTGAGTCTTGAATTCTTTATGTAACTTTTTTCCTTATATGCGGAATATTATTTACTACTGATATTGTTACTATTCTCACTACTCTGGAATTTGTCTTGAAATGATTTTATCTCATTGCGTTAATGTGGTGTTTTAACTTGAACCGAAATATATGTGTTAGATTCTACGTTGCGTATAACTAACTGATTAGATCTTTTTAGCGGCATCACGATTCTATCAGGTGTCGTCGATACCAAGACCTATGTGTCTGTCGACAAATGTTTATAACCACTGGATCTACGTCCAATAGTGTAATTGCAACTTCAATCAGTTTACAGTATAGCCCAATGATCATCTTATATGATTGATGAAAACTGTTTTACTTCCGACATGTATTCTTTCTAAAACAACATAGAAAACATGATATATCGTATTATCAAGTTGTCTAGTTTTTAAGACTGACCTAATTCTAGCCTGTGGTTATCAATTATGTTTTTTTTACAATCAAAAGAAAACTAATTTTCGATCAACGTATATTTTATATGGTCATTCATTTTGCATAGATTTCCGGTGTTTATTTCACGGACATAAACATGCACATAACTGCAAATAATTTAGTTGATGTCTCATTGAAACATCCAGTTATGTGTAGGGTTAGGTCAGTATGCAATCTATTGTATTATGAATTTTGTGTATGAAATAGATAATAAATTTATCTTTTCATTTTTTTATCAGCTAATAACAGAAAACTGGATTGAAAGTGTTGTATATCACCGTTTCTGTTGTTAATTCATTTTAGTCATATCACATTTCAACTTTTTTTGATAAACATTTAGGACTCATAGTTTGATAGATATAGCACGAAAGATGCTGACACACAAGCTTTATAAGTGATAATGTATTGCAAATAAGCTGCATTAGTGCAATTATATTCAGTCTCTTTTTGTTTTCCTTTATATCTTAAGTCGCAGTATTCCTTCATACATGCCTTTTCATTTTGTCACCACGATTGTTTCAGTTTTACTGAAATCATAAACCGATCTAAATTAGACCACCACTAAAAACCTGGGAGTACTGGACGGTCGTTTCGTCCTAGTACGAGACTTCTGAGGAGTGAGCATCTACGAACCCAGGACCTTCGGTCTTGAATGTGAACACTTACCCTCTAGACTACTGAGCCATCATCCAACGGTGTCAATGTCTAACTTCAATCGATCTCCAACATCGCGCGATCATCTCCCATTGTCTTCGGTGGGTAATTGCCTTACACCCGACATGGACTAGCTCCACTAGTCACGGCTTCTCACTAGAACTCTGGAAATTTCATCATGAAGTTAGTCACTAATAAGCATGTAATATAATTATCAAAAAGGGGTTGTGGAGATTGTTGAACTTCGTTGGATATTCATTAGACATCAACGCTTTTGTATACTGACTCAATGGTTTAGAAATTAAGCTTCCTAGCGCAAGACCGTTAGTCCTGGGTTCAATTCCCGTCTGTGGGGTTATGGATGTGCACTTCTCAGGCGTCCCATACCAGGAAAAAGCAACCGTTCAATGCTTCCAATGGTGATCTGACATTGATCGGTTCATGATTTAAATGAAATTCAACAATCTCTACAACCCCTTAATGACTATTTCAATTCTGTTAGTATGTATTTCATTCTTTTCATCTCGTCATGTTAATGTGATGCGTCAACTTGAGTTTTGTTTGAATTTTATTAATCTTTGACAATCTTTTTCAAAACGGTAACTGTTCGAAACTGATCACATTAAACCATAGTTAATTTTGAATAAAAATCATTTTATTATTAAAAACCAACCTTTTTAAGCTAAACTCAATTAAAACACTGAATTTTATCGATCGTAAATGGTTATTATTCTAGTTTATTCTACAACTCTACATCTCTATTGAATTTGTAATCAAAAATAAAGCAAGAGGGGAAGAATAATTATGATTGATTGGTCAGTCAATAAATGAGTATTATATATTTTATTTTCATTTCTTTACCTTCATTCTTTCCTACTTTATTCTTTAACTCTTTTCTATTTCATAAAATCACTTTATTATCAAAATTACTCATAGCCTAAGTTTCATCATTACTTTCACAGCGTGTATCCTTCTAACCTTATATATATATATATATATATATATATATATATATATATATATATATATATATATATATATATATATATATATATCACGATGACATTATCAAAATTCCTTTCCTACTCTATAAAACTCAATCAATCTATAATTTATCCGTCATCGTCATACAGCATGAATGACAGATATATGTCCGTTTGCTGTCAGTCTGTGTTTTGTTTTTCTCTTAAATAAATTGTTGTTGATCTTTTTCGTAGCTGTATATCTTTTTTTTTTTTAATTTTTGTAAACCTTGTTCTTTTGCATTATTGACTCTAAAATAAGTACGTCGTATTCAGTCTGATTTTTGTAGGTATGTGTTTGTGTTTATGCTTGAATATTATTGTTAATTGTGAGTAACTCTGTTTGTTAGGAAGACTAATTGACCTTGATATTTAGGTCATTTCGTATTTTTTGGGGGGAGGAAAATATCTTAATTTCACCAGAGTTTCAGATGTAAACCATTGGTTTCTAGCTCAATGGGGATTAAACATACTTCTCGATTACTGATAGTCATGGGTTAGATCTCTTGTGAGGTCGAGGATGCGCATTACAGAGGAGTCTCATACCAGCAGGAAACAGCTGTCCAGTACTCCATAGTTTTTAATGTTTTATTCACTGAAGCCTAGTAAATCGTTATTTTCAGTTTAAATCACTAACTAAACCATATCATTGGAAACCCGGAATCTTGGGTGGCCGTTTCATCGCAGTATGGGGAAATTCAATCAGTAACTAGAAACTTATATATTCATAACGAAACTTGAATGTTTCAAATTTAATATCGGATAATGTTGAACATTCAAACTGTCGAATTATCCAAAACTCCTTATTGTTTCTTATTTGTTTTTTTTTCAAGAAAAATGGTTTCTGTTTCCTATAGAAAACAAATTTCAGTTAGTACAATCACTTAGTAATAATCATTGTTATGTCGTCTAGTCCTATCAAAATCACGACTCAAATAGTTCACGTTTTTAACTACAAATGACACTAGATAACACAAATCAGAATGCCATGAGGAACATCAATTCCCTCGTGAGTACAGATACACCTTGCTGGTGAGTGTCAGCATGAAATCAAGGTTTAACGCTTAACTTAGGCTATCTTCAACCACTTTACATATTACCATTTCTTTTAAAATTGACGCATTTGGTTTAAAAAAGCAACATCTTTGTTGTCTCGTTTTTTCTCTCACTAGATGGTTTCATGTCACATCGGATGTAATGGTTATGCAACCTGTCGGTTTCGATACAGACTTCAGTCATTCCACTTGGCCAAATAGTTATGAAGCCATCCCATTGGATGGTGGTCGTTGGCTTGAAATTCACTTGGGTCATTTAAATACTTCCCCGACAAGTCGCCGTCACGAACACGATCACTCAGAATGGAATGAAAATTTTGAGTCTCTTCATAATAGTAATAATGATCCAGGTATTTATTTTTTTGCTGTTTTTTCTAGTCGAAATTGTGAAAAATGTTAATTCTTGCTGATACCTGAGGCAGTTATCCTCAAGTCATTTAGTTAATTAGATATTGTGTAAAACTCTAACTCAAATTTCATTAGCCCAAGTAGAAATTCGATATATGATTCAAGAAGGAATAACTTAGTGAAACTGAGAGTATAACAATGATTTAAGGGAAGTGTATTTGGGCCACTGTAACCCATTTTGCCTCATGTCTTCAATTGTAGGTTACATTGGTGTGAAAGTAAGGAGGAAGCTTTTTGATGACTAAATTGAATCGAATAATATATATATATATATATATATATATATATATATATATCCCTTAGAAAGTAAAACCATATATTCGATCGATGGCCTGTGTTTCGTTCTTTTACAAAGGAAGCCAGATCATGGTCATTAGCATGTGCTTATTATTTGACCAATTACTGATGTCATTCAGGATATCTAAAAGTTTTAAGTTCGGTTGTCAAATAAGATCAGAACTTCTTATGCTCGTGAAGTTGTAAGAACAAGCCAATACTTAATTAATTGTTATTAAATGCTCAGTCATAAATAATTTAATATGTTTTTTATTCCATTCTCTTTCATTCTGTAATCATCTCAAAAAATATATATGTACACACGTGTACACATTGGTATCCAGATAAAAAATCCCAACCAAATGAATATTATTTTCGTGCTGGTTTTGGTGAATATTTTTGTGAAGTACATATACCATCAATACAACAAGTAGATAATGTGATTAATCAACCAGATAAAATGGGATTAAATAATACAGGACCATATATACCTGTTACTTTATTCTCTGCTACTACTGCCACCTCTTCATCGCCGTCAGAATCAACAAGTGTTGTCAGTAAATTAAAGACGTCAAATTCTAGAAGTAATGTCATTAATTATGATTATTATTATTACTGATAGTAGTAGTATACCATAATGTTGTCTGAAATTATATATATATATATATATATATATATATATATATATATATATATATATATATATATTTGATTTAAATTAAAAGTTGTATGGTTTAGGATATCACTTACGAACAAACTGCCATCAAAGTTTCAAGTTTCAATCACTTCATTCTGCCCATTCGGTAACCATCATTGATTATGATATTAAAGATATTTGTCTACCAGTCAAAGAGTAAATACATTACTTAACAGTACACTCTCTCTATTGATCCACAGATGGTGAACGTGGTACTTGAAAATGAATAACATACTTAAACTACAATGTATTTGATTATAAATATTTTTCAAGTATTGATAGATAGCATACATCAGAACTACTGAATGATTAATGCTGTGAAGTAGGGTATTAAGCACAACCTCAGAGACAATTGATTTGATTATTAGCAGTTAAGATATCTGTTATTTAATTCCAACCATCACCTGCGTCTTTGTGGAATTCTGATTGACATAAGAATAGATTGATTGGAAACCAGGGATGAGTAGACCAAGTGTTTTGCCATTGGCTGTTGTTAGTCTAAGCCAAGTTTATAGGTATGGATGTTCTGATCGTGTTTATCATATGTAGTATGGAATCACTGAATATTTATATTGAGAACAACATAAAACCCTAAATATTCAACGGAAAAACCTTTAAAATGCCGAAAAATTTATTGCTCATGAGATCAACATTGGATTGAGAGTGGAATATAACAGCATTCTCAAAGAAATCCCTTCGAAAAACCTATCCAGCTAAGCTACCAATTAACTTCCCTTGTAGGTATTGAACATGATGATATGTTATAGGTCAACGGTCGTTTTGCGACCGCTTTAATGTATATGAATTAATCTAATTATCCTTTTGAGAATAAATTATCGTTAGGTATCTCGTGTTACTCCTTTTAGAACGCATATCCAATTAATACTCCGTAAATATGACTGAATAGTTTATTAAGAAATTAAAGTTATCGTTTATGTAAGTGAAAATGATAGGTACAAATCCTCCACTAAAACTTCCATTTCCCTCTTTTCATTATATCATCCTTCTCATACACCTTGAAAGATTATCTCACGAATAAAGCGCAATACTTAGGGCTCTATTTTTGTCCTCCATATTCACCAAATGCCTCGTGTCTAATGCTTTTGGACAATTTTTCGTTCATTGACTGGATGAGTGCTGTACATCGGATTGTAATTTTCAAGTGTTTGGAGTTATTCACAATCGTCTAATATGAACATATTCATCCCAAAATGCTGAATGATAAATACAAATTTAGTAAAAGTTACAGTTTAAAATGCAATTCACACCGTAATTGGGTTTACTCATCTTGTAAAAGATTATTTCTTTATTTATTATTTATTTTAACACATAGGTATTGGTACAAGGAGGCACCAAATATATATGCGCCACACGAATCTCAATTGATTTGTGTGAGGGCTGTGATACTGCCCGGGTGCCCAAATCGAAGCAGGTGGTTTACCGAAGGGGCCACACCCCGAGCCTTCGACCTGAACGTCTGACCCATAAGGCAGTGGAGCATCGTAAGGAGATGCAGTCCCATGGTAGCCGGTGACCAACGATTGGTTCATACGCGATTCGTTCCCGCAGGATACTGGAGCCCATGTGCACCGTTGGTTTGGGATCCGGTTAAGGCGCCGGACATTCGCTTTTCGTCCTCTCATTTTCGTAAAGAACACCCGTGGTGCGAGAAGGCAGTGAGTAGGACTTCCCTGGCAGAGGCTATATACGCATGGCCATGTGAGAGCATTTCGAGAGGGAGAGCTGACTCCCTCCACTCTCGGCCGTACCAGGGCATTTGGGGGCCCTTGTAAAAGAACGGGAAGATTGCCAACTATACTAAGTACGACTTACTGAAAATGTTAGGGACAACTTGATCGTCATTTGATGACAACGTATTTATTTAAATCGGCTTAATTTTGCACAAAAGAGATAATGATCTGTATTTCAGTTCAGTGATCATCACATTTCATAGTTAAAATCTCCTCCTTACGTTTCGTCGTAGTATCTGACTCCTCAGCATAATACATTCACGATCCCATCGTAGATGATCTAACACGGAATCTTGAGATTTCGCTGTGAGAACATATCCTCTTGTCCGCTGATTCGGCACCTGATGGTGTACATGTTTAACTAATATGAATTGCGCTACTATTTTCGATTGTCTATTATGGATCATTGTCTCACTTATCCCAGCTTCTGACTAAGACTTCAGGAAGTGTATCTTGAAGCTAATTACTAGTAAGCACGTAACTATAATTAGTACATCTTGAGGGAGAAATTTTTTAGGATGAAACAGTTTTTCATTGGTTTCTTGTGTTTTAATGATGGTCTGGCTAAAATATCAGTCCATGATTTAAAGTATGAATATTTAATATATTAATTCAAAGAGTTGGCGTTTTCAATATTGTCATTTTTTGTCTTCGAAACACGCTTCAACTATAAAAGTGAACTAGTATAGTTATCGCTTTGTCTACCACCAACTTACCCGTCCACTCGCCCATCAGCCCACCCTTAATTAGCATTTTAATCGCTAATAGATTAGTGATTCATTCACATTAAAGTTGTGAATATGTCTATTACTTTTGTTTGTGTATGCTATTGTGTTTGTTTATCTTTAGTTTCCTCACCATTTCCCCATCATAACTGGTATTGTTTTTTTTATCAAAGGACCGAATTGTTGTTTATTCTCAAGTTGATTTCAGAGAAAAGGTATCGTTTGCTCTGGCATACCCACAGCAGTAGAGAAATAACACATTAATAAGATCACCGTGTGTCTGTTTATACTTACGTGGCTAAGGATATGTGCGTGTATGACCCCTTGGCATAATTAGTCATTGTACATCCTTCTGCTGTCCGATTTTTATGTTTGTGCCAGTCACGTGACTCATTACCTTTGACAATGATGTCGATGTTATTTGGTGGTTGACTGTGCCCGATTGTGTTCTAAATATACCAGGCTAGTCAAGCAGATAAGCAGTCGGATTACATTTTCTCGTGTTTATCAGTTTAATTTTGTTTTATCTATCTATAATAAGAAAAATGACATTTGACTTTTAATCCTACAGTGTGATGTGTGTGTTGTAGCATGACAGTTTGATAGTATGAACTTTAGAACATAATTTATTCGGTTGTGATAATAGAAATCAGCTGTTTATATATATATATATATATAACAAAAATCAGTCTTTTATCAGGTTTCCTTGTTAGCTTAAAATACTGAGATGATACAGTTCTGAGCCTGAAGGTCCTGGGTTTGAATCTCTCCCGTGAGATTGTGGACGCGCACTTCTAAGGAGTCCCATACCAGGACGAAATGGTTATCCAGTGCTTCCAAGTTCTCAATGGTGGTCTGACATTGATTCATAATTTCAATTATATTGTCGACTCTCTCTCAAATTGCTCTCACATGACTACGCGCATACAGCTGCTGTCAGGGAATTACTTCTCGCGCGGGAGTGTTTACTAAGTCAAGAGGTCGAGAAGCGAATGTCCGGCGCTTTAACCGGGTTGGTGAATACGGAAGGTCCATCTAGGGGAGTTGGAAAATCTTAATTCCAAACTATTGGTGCACATGGGCTCTAGTAACGTGAAGGAACAAATGTCGTATGAACCAATTGCTGGCCATTGGCTACCATGGGACTGCATCTACTAACACTGATCAAACCTTAGGCCGAAGGCTCCGGGTGTGGTCCCCTGGGAAAACCACTTGCTTCGGTCTGGGCATCTAGGTAGTATCACAGTCCATACACAATCACGTGACTTGTATGGCGCATATGTATTCAGTACCCTTTCTACCAATATTTGTTTTCACATCTATAAATAAATAATACCATTTAGTTAGGTTCGATATTATTATCGTAACTGGTGCTTAGATACTTTAAATGACATGACTCAAAATCGTTTGCAATGACGTAGGTACATTCATTGTTTTCGTGCAAATTCTGAATTCCTCATAACTTTTTTGTTTTTATCGCACTAATCTATATTTTCTTCTCTAGTTGTATATTCGATGCCTAATTTTATATATTACCATTAATACTGTTACTATTTTTACTATTCTGTGATTTGGCCTGACTATTTCATTTCTTTGTGCTAATATGGTATGGTGACCTAAACCGGTGTACTTACTTACCGGTGTACATACTAGGTTTCACGTTGCGACTGACTTATTGATCATAACTCTTTCAATCTAGATTTAAGTGAACTCCTTTGGTCTCGACTTTCCTATCGGTCTTTCGAACTCATCGTAAAGTAAGTTATTGGTGAGCGTGCAATTATAGTTTTGATGTAGGAGTTAATTGGAGATTAATTTGAGGGTGTAGTTTGTGCGCCTATACTGTTACGAAGTCGTATAAAAGAACGAAACACAGTTGTTCGGCGGTACTCCAAATGACGCTAGTTTGCAACAAATACCCTTTACAGACTAAAATCATCTGCATCAAACTCTTGCTTCGAAAATATTAGTTGTATTTCCTTTTCGTGTTACTCGTCCTAACAATTGATAAGGTTCATTTAAATGGATTTCTTGAAGATCAACTTGATTCGCTATTGACTGTTCAGTTATAGTACATAATTTTTCTCAAATAATTGACATAATAATCGTACTGATTCCAACAATGTAGTTTAAACCTGATTGTAATTGGTTTCATTTACATTATGGTACGGTTTAATCTATCATTCCCTTGTTTTTCTCCAACTTTATTTCTAATACTACCGCTAACATCATTCATCAAGCTATTCTGTGTTACTTTTTCTCCTTTATTTTTCCGTACTACTATTCTACAATAAATGATACTACTGATGAATTCTTGTCTTCTAGTTTCCTTCCAAATATTGTGTCATCGTATTTAAATGAAGTAATGATAATTAATAATCTTGGGAAATCTGTTTTTTTTTTCAATATTT